CTTGGCTTTCACAACATTCCCTAGCATTTCTGTTGAACAGGAAGGTTTCACTCAAGCCCAGGTCTAGCCTGCCTTTCCTGGTGGCCTTTCCTATGAGTTCCGAACCTGCTTAGTCAGCTCCCAGAGTCTCATTGGATAATGATTTGGAAAAAACAATCTCACAGTATATATGTCGTTTGATTTGCATGTTTCTCTCTGTTGTAGTTTTTATTGTAGTGGCCTCCAGCGACAGTGAGATGAAGTAGAGCATGAACAATAATGCTCCTTCTGTATCGTATAGTCTACCCCAGAGTCAAGCCCATCTGTCGCGTGTAAGCCAATGTGTTCTCTTGTCCCTTCCTCTTCTCTTTCTAACTTCAACCCTCTTCTGTTTTCCTTGTCTCCATCCCTAATATGCTCACCCTTTTCCGGATACTCCTTTAAACTACAAGAGAAAACAAAATGAACCTTGCCTGGTCCTTCAAGGAATTTCCACACTTCTTTTTCTTTAAACTTCTTACAAATACATTCTATTTTCAGGTGTCTATTTCTTAACCCACTGACACCTGGTTTCCATATCCACCATTCTACTGAAACTGAACTTTAGACCATCCAAGGTTCAAAACTGCACAGGTCATCAAATCTAATTATGAAAGCTGTGCAGTAGTTAGCTCCCAGCATTCTTCACTTCCCAGTATTCTTCACTTACTCATTGTAGGAAACCTTGAGAGTGGTGGTTTGAATAAGAATGGCCTCCATAGGCTCAAATATTTGCATGCTTGGCCCCCAGCGGTGAAATCCTTGAAGTATTAGGAGGCGTGTCCTTACTGGAGGAGGTGTGTCCTTGCAGGAGGAGGTGTGTCCTTGCTGGAGAAGGGGTGCTCCACTGGGCATGAGGCTTGAGGTTTCAAAACCCTTTATCAGGTCCAGTGTCTCATTCTCTCTGCCTGCCTGTGGATAAGACTGCAAAGCTATCAGCCACTTTTCCAATGCCTGCTTGCGTGAAACCATGCTCCCCACCACGATAATAAAGGACAAAACCAAGCCTAACACCAAAACCTAAACTAAAAACAAAACAAACACCACCACTAACAACAGCAACAAAAACCAAGGTGGGCAGCCATAGTAGATGTTCAAAATTGACCTCTGGTCTCTGTGTGCACAGACATGGACACCCCCACCCACCACACACACATTGTCACCCATACATACAAGATAAGCATCTATCTTATCAAGCTATCTAGTTGAAAGATAGATTTCTCCGAATCTTTTGCTTCTTGGAAAGGTATGTTACTCAGTGGAGGTCAATGGAGAACTTGCTACCATGTCTCCTGGTCATCACAATCTCTCATCCTTCTTGAATCATAATTCCAAATAAACTGTTTCTTTTATAAGTTTCTTTGATCATAGTGTTTTCTCATGCAATAAGGAAAGGACACTGCACAACCCGTGTCCCAGGAGCACAGACAAGAAAGCATTTTATAAACTTCAGGAAAAGATTAAGATAAGTGGGCATTTACTGCCAATCAACTTCACGGTTGGGACACCATGTTCTTTTCAGATTGCAGATAGCACATTTGTTAATGTTGCTCATTTCCCGTGTTTTCGTATTATTTTTTAAAAGACTAGCATATTTTAACCATCTTAATATTAGTGAATTAGTAATTAGCACATTAATTTTAATGAGGCAAGGCGCTATAATACGTAGCTGCGATCAATGTGTCCACTGAAAAACGTAATAGCAATTAGTTGAATCTGCATGGTTGGAACCCTTGTAGAGTTCCTAAGGAGCTCTTTTGTGCAGTTCCACCCCAGGCCACAGGGGGCGGAGCAGCGCTTTCTGGCTCGCGATTATTGACGCCGTTTCTGTCTCTGTTGGAACCGACCAAGTCAGTGCGGAAAGGGGGAGAGATATACTGCAGAGCGTGAGTAGGCCTGGCCCATGATTGATGTCGTCGGGAATAATGCTCCCTCGTAATTCTTTATTTCAAAACACACTGAGGTAGACACATTACTATGCGCAGCGATCCCCAGGAGACTCCTAGGCGGTGCCGGGGTGCGCCCATCATCTCCCGTCCCCCACCCGGCGGGCGAAGGTATGGTCCGCTCCGCCCTGCTAGACCGGAAGCCGACGCGGCCTGCGCGCGCCTCTCGGCTGGGGAAAGCCCGCGCCGCGGCGAGGGGTCACGGTCCGCGAGCTGTTCGCGTCCGGGCCCATGGGTCTCCATGGCGACGGCGGGGGCCCGGCAGCCGGAGCGGGGCTGTGGCGCTCCGGGGGCCTCCGCGGCAGCGTGGCTGTGTTCGCCGCCGTGGCTGCTATGTTCACCCTCACGCTGCCCCGCTCGCTGCCGGGGGGAGACTCGGGTAAAGTACTCGCAGGCCGCCCTCTCCCCACCCCCTGTCTCCGGGTGCCGCCGGCCACTTCGGTATCTGGCCCCGCGTCCATCGCCGGAGCTCCGTGCACGGCTCTGAGTTCCAGAACCAGTTCTGTTTCCGGTTCTGGATCTCTGATCTATGATCTCTGTGTTCTCGAGCTGCTGATGTTTCAGCTGATGAAATTTAACCACTGCCCACTTTCCCTGGATCATTTTTACCTAATTCACCTATCGTGCCCTTAGAGTGTCACCAACGAAAAGATTGACAGTAGTTAACAAGTAGCATGGAGCGTTCTACTGTGTTTAGAGACGACACGACGGGTTATTAAACTACATTTTAAGTGGTGGTGAGTTAGGGAGGCACTAAGGGTGTAATGTGGTTGAGAGTCGGTAGGTCCTTCAGACGGTCAGGAAAGACTTCCTTGGAGGTATATTAGCCATGCAGAAAATTTAGAAAGGAACTCATAAAAGGGAATGCCAGCTGCACCCCTCTTGCTGTGGAAAAAAAAAAAAAAGTAGGTTTCACACAGATTAAGCCAGGGCATAATGATCCTATATTTAAGACTAGAAACAAGTGTGCGTGTGTGTGTGTGTGTGTGTGTGTGTGTGTTTTGTTTTTACAGCCAGATCAAGCGATGAATAATTCTTCATAATAATGAGCAATGTTTTCAGAATGATGGTGTAACATAGAATGATGGTGAACATAGTCAAACGATTTCCTGAAGAGCCCATGAGCTGTTTATAATTTCACTACCTGAGATGTCCACCCAGATTTGGTGGCTGATGCGGGGGCTGTTTATCATCTCCCAGTCTGTGGATCAGTAGCTCTGGGTACAGTTTAGCTGGGTTCACTAACATAGGACAAGGTGGGGACCAAGGTCACAACCTCTCAGAGTCCTGTTTAGGGAGCATCTACTTCCAAACGTAAGTCTAGCCCTTTCCTGTGTGGCTCTCTCCATAAGAGAGCTGATTCCTGTCAAAAGAAAGAGATAGAGCATTCTGTCACCTCTGTCATTTTTGAGACCTAATCCTGGAAGTGATATGCCACTGCCCTGTTTTATTGGAGGGAGTCAGTAAATCTAGACCAGTTCAAAGGGGAGAGGATTACACGGCAAGAAAGCCGGGAGATGGGGATTACCAGGACTGTCTTCAAGATTGACTGCCACGGGAAGAATCCGAGATGCTCCATTTTCAGGTCATCTCTTTCCAGTCCCACTGAGCACTTAGTGGCGGTGGTGATTCATTAGCCTAGCTGAGAATGGAGTTACCAATTTCCTAAGATTAATATTAAACAATGAAGTAGTTTTAGGGTAGCAAGAGATTTGATATTGGAGAGTTTAGAAGTTACATAGCTCTGTACTCATTAAAAAGTGTCTACAACAACTTATTTGAGCCACAAATACAGGATGAGGAGAATAATAACATTGCATTTACTATAGACCACTCATTGTTCTAAGTGCCTTTTATGGAGTTTTGCCCTCCCAGCTGACCTAGAAGGTAGGTACTATACCTTTGTAGATGAGAAAAATAAGGCTAACCTACATCCAAAGTCACAGTGAGTGAGGGTCTTCTGAAAAGAACCTAATCGGGTTGATGTTGGAACATTCTTCTTAATTTGTACTCAAAAGAGTTTTGTGACATTGTTAAATTATCCATCACACATAGTGATAATAAGTTTGGAGTTGTTGCCTTCTTTTTAAATTCTGTATTTCATGTGTTACCAAAAGAATAAAGTTGTGTATTCATCTGAATTACCAGACTTCTTATATGTTCCTTTTTGTTTACTTGTATGCTAAATAGTGGTTGCTTCTGATATTTTATGATCATTTTCAGGAATCGTCAGTAAGCTATTTTTCATCTATGAGCCAGTGTGGAAATTCTGTTTAAGCTTACTTTTGATCATATTGTTTCTGTGATGTACTTGAATGCTTATGAATATATATTCTGTCAATAAACAGAATACATCTCAAAACCAAATAAAGCATGCATTTTTTTCTGATAAGTGTTAAGTTTTCCTCTATAGATATATCAGTGTGTGATGTTGCCAAAATTATTTTTTGCACTACTAGACATTCATATTCATGGACAGTTCTCATGATCCTTGAAAGAACTAACTTACAGATGGATTTATATATGTTAAAATATAGTTATTCTACTAGATGATATATGGCCATATTAAACATATGTACACTGTAAGCATCTACAGACAGCTCTGGGTTTGCTTCTAATTTGCATTTGGGACGACAAAGTTGTATGTCTCAAACCTGAATATACTTCAGAATTGCCCAGCAGGTTCGAGTGGTAATGACCTTCAGGAAACTTCTTCTGTTACTCACAGCTCTTTAACTGAGGAAAGCCCTATGACAAAGCAACTCAGGAGGCGCTGAGTTTATGTCAGTATTTACTTTGTCTTCCTCTTTTTCACGTTCACTTTAAGAACATTCCCTTTGCTCTTGATCAGGAAGACATAGAGTCAGATCAGTGACATTTCTGTTTAGATTGAAATTGCCAAGAATTGATGGACTCTGCAAAAAAAAAAAAAATACAAGTTTGTGTGTGTGTGTGTAAAAGCAGAGCAAAGGGTGGTGGCAGTGTTAAAGTGTAGTTTGAATACATTCTGAATGAAAGAGAACGGAGACCTTGAAGTTGGCATTTCTGGTATGCTTTGTCTCACAGATAAGAGCAAAAATTGAGCAAAGTCATGGAGTAAAATTGTAGGATCACTGTCAGTAGTTACACAGGGAACAGTTTCAAGCATTTTTAGACTATAAACAATTTCTCTGAAAGATGTTTGGGACACAAAAAGTTCTTCAGTTTCTGAGACACCAACATCAGTAATTGGTCAGGGAAGCAGCATGTATCTGGTTGCCTTTAGGGGGCTTCTGTGAGGCTGTCATTCACTGAAGAACACAGGTTTGTGCGTGGTAAGGATGACAGTGTGGTATGCTGTCACCACCCTCCAAATCACGAAGCATCTGTGTTGATTCTCTGTAGGAGGTCAGAGAAGAGACTGGTGGTGTTTTCTTGGTGGTATCCTGAAATGGATATGATGATGTTTTTAAACTTAGAGAGAAATGAAAACAACAAGCTGGAATATAATCCCATATAGGAAAGTGCTAAATAGTTGAACAGGTTCTGTGGAGGAGAAGGAATAATGGCTAGAGGACTATCCATTATTATCCATTATTAGCTGGAGCTGTGTAAGGAAAGGTGTTACTCAGAAATGGAAGATGATTTGGGTCTTAACACACTTAAGGAAGAAAGGCTGAGAAATATTTGGAGGGTGAGAAGATGAGAGATGGTGGTGTGTGTGTGTGTGTGTGTGTGTGTGTGTGTGAATGAAGAAGCACCCTAGTGGAACACTGGCATTCAGGGAGAATAGGTTGTATGGGAACAGGCTGGCAAGGGGACCTTGAAGCCGTTAGGCCTGCCCTGAGAAGCCCTTATTCTTGCTAAGATATCTGAACTTCATTACTAACGGCAGCCATTGAAAGTATAGACTGGGGCTAGGATTCAGCTTCTTGGTTTTGTCTACCTTGGAGGAAGGGTGCTGTAGTCAAGAATAGTTTGGGAACAAAAGATACATTAAAGTACGTAAGCTCAGGCCAGGGAAGGTGGAGGTCTACTTTTGTAACTAGGACAGTAGAAATTAAAGGCAGAGTATTGATATCCGCCAAGAAATAGAAAATGAACACAAGTGCTTTTCCTAATTAGTAGTAACCACAACTCACTATTATGACTAATGTCTCACTGTGCTGCTGTGTAAAGGCGTGAGTCAAAAGTAGTTTTTTAGGTACTTCAGTAGCAGACACTGGATTGCTTACTGTTCCGCGAGCTTAGAAAGGACCGCTAGCACTGAGGAGCCCCATGCAAAGGGTGGAATGACTTCCTGGTTTAAAGCAGTATATTCCGGGAGAGCTTACCAAAACAATACAAATTGTTTAAAGATACCTAACAATGCAAACAATTCTCCAAGTGCCAGCATTGGGTGACAGGACACATTTGACAGTGTCCAAAGCTCAAACCTCTGCACATGTTTTATGTCAGACAACTGCATCTCTGTTGTTGTTGTAGGAGGGGCAGTCTCACCAGGTTGCCCAGACTAGCCTTGGACTTATGGTAATCCTCCTGCCTCTGCCTCCAAAGTACTAAGATACCAGACCACAGAGCTTCATGACTGCATCTTTATAAGCTGTGCTAAATTCTTGACAGAATGCAGACTGTCATATTCAGGCTCTGTAAATGTGTTTGTATATTTGTAAGTAAGTACAACATTCAGGAAGGAAAATGATTTTTTTTAACATGAGAATTCACCTGTATTTCTACTGACCAGTTATTTAAAACTATGGAAGATAGTTAATAAAGACCTATGGGGGAAAGTCTTGTTAGACCGTTTCATGCTGTTAAATCTCTCCAGATTTACAGTTTTATCCAGTCAAATTAATGCAAAACCCCAATGCAAGCATCCGGATTTTGAAAACTTTGGAGGAGTGTCATTCTGTAATAGTAATTATTGGTTTTACATTATTTTTTCACAGGGGAACTGATCACAGCTGCATATGAGCTTGGAGTAAGTATTAGTTTTATTGTTTAATCAATGCTCTCATTAACAGTTTTAGGAATTAAGAAAGTTTAATTAAGCGTGGAATAAAGTAGATTAATTTATTTTCAAGCCCTAGTTTTTAGTAACTTATAAGTACAGTACGTGACAATTTACTTTAAGTTTTAAATCCAATTAGCTGAAATTATAAAGCAAAGCCTTTACTATATATACAGTAGCTGGCTTATTATCACCCCAAATTTTGTATAAGCTGTGGAGAATAAATCGGGTTAACCATTTTAATAAGTTTATTATTTAATAAACTTTATCATAGTGTGTGATCCCTTTAGTCAAGACCTTATGACTGTCAGTGTGGTGATAATCCGGGAGCAGTGTGGTCTTTCAACTCTAACCGAGATGATATTTCGGGACCAGCCTGTTTCAGTAACCTTTTAAATGACCCGAATGTACTGTGAACCTAGAGCACAAACTGCTTAAGGACTGACATGGAATATGTCATCCTTTATTTAGGTGACGTACCATAGGATAGACAGGCCAGGTCCATTAAAGAAAGTAACCATATTGACACTCTGTTGAGACATTTAGTCATCAACACATCATCCTCTTGCTGCCGGAGAAAAGGGCTGCTTTTCAGTTAAACCCAGTGTGACACATCTTTTTAGATGAAAACGTCTAACTGTTGCTTATTTTTCCATAGGTCGCCCATCCCCCCGGCTATCCGTTGTTCACACTGGTGGCTAGCCTGGTAATCACCCTCTTTCCATTTGGCTCCGTCGCCTACCGCGTCAATTTCCTCTGTGGCTTATTCGGGGCGGTAGCAGCTTCGCTCCTTTTCTTCACGGTTTTCAGGTAAAGTGGTTGATTAGTTAACTTTGAGGAATTAGAGTTGGAGTTCCTCGCGGCCAGCATCAGACACCAGCTTCAGCAAGCAGCTTCAGCTTTGGTTGCTTAGGTGGCTTCCCTCAGTCACGTGATTTCACTTCCTTTCCCCTCAGATGTACAGGGCTGGCTCCGCCTTGTACAGTGGGGTGACCGTGTCACCTGTTCATTGTCACACTTCTCTGGTTAGGCAGAACTAATGAGGTCTGTCATTTTACACAGATGAGAGTGGGCTGACTGAACTCAGCAACACCAAGCTTGTCTAAGTGGTCAGTTCGCCTAATTACTCACCGTGCTGCTGATGGCAGCTGCCTCTCAGGCTGGGCCTGACACCCAATTATATTATAAATATGAACGTAACTGCATGCTTTGGAAATGAGGCTGTTAACCAAGGAAATCACGTTTGGGGTATGGTTGTAGTGAGGTTTCACGTTGTCCCACTGTAGTCCTTGGGGAGGGAGACAGAAGTCTTGCTGACTTCTTTGACGGAGACGTTCATAGTTGGAAGCTACTGTGCTTTTAACAGATTGGCTGCTGGTCTGGAAATATTGGTGAACTCATTTGCCTTCGATGTTTCTGCCTCCATTCTTAACTTAGCCTAAACTCATTTCCTAAGAGGATGATACCAAAAAAATACAAATTGTATTTTGTGGAACATGGAGGGGAAAATCCTGCTTCCAAAAGGTTTTGTAAGCTTTCTTAAATACATAAATCATCATCATCATGTAGTATAGTTTGAGTAGATTCCATTTTCACTGATAATTTTGGCAGTTAGGATTTTTAAATTTTCTAAATTTCTTTTGAGTTATTTATAGAAGTGGTAAAGCTAACATAATAACTCTAAAAGTTACTTTAAATCTATTTGTTGAAAAGATTCAGATAAACTATTACAGTTTTGATAATTTACAACATGTTATCCATATCACTCTGACTGTCTCCATTTAATCTTGCATTTCACCAATAGTCTTTTAGTAAGCAATGTGCAAAGTAAAGGCTCTGCCTGGATTGTTTAGTGCTATGAATATTTTTTCTAAAAAGTTGGAATAATTTTGATTAAAACTATTTCTTCTGAATCTTCTATGACTAAGTACCTACCAGAGTTTTCATTGAGAGAAAAACTGATAGTTTTTCTTTTAAATATTTGAGTTGAAATTTGAAATTTAACCTGTTCAGTATTGAAGACATTAAGTCACTAATTTTCATAAGGAACTTTTAAGAGAGACACTTCAGCTTTATGAATTTGTGTGTGTGTGTGCATGTGAGTATGTTTGTGTGTGTGCGCGCATGCTCTGAGGAACGTGAGGCAGTTAGTGCTCTAAAACTTCTCATATTTTCTCACATATTATTGATGCCGTTGCACAGGAAGCTGCTATTTTAAAGAATTATATATAAAAACCTCTTAAATCCAATAGCTTTGGACAATAATTTCCCTTTAGTTGCCCAGTTTAAAAATAGCTTTTCTCACATTTGCCTCAGCATCTGAGTTGTAGATGAGTACCTTGTCATGTGACTCTTTGATTTAATACACAGCATTGTTGATTAATCATTACACTTGCTGACATTTTAAATCAGAATTCTAGTACTACTCAACTGGCTCTAAGTAGTTTCACAGATATAGTACTTTGGAAAAGTTGTTTTGTCCCTGGAAAAGAATCTAACAGCGTCATTGCTCACATACGCTTTAATATGAAAATGCTTCATTATTTTGAATACAAATAACTGACAAGGTACATGTCCTTTGGGAACAACCCAGTTCAAGTGGCAAATCTGTTTTGTCAAACAATAGACACCCTTCAGAAAGGAGAAGCCATCTCTATGGTAATAGGACTAACAGTAGCCTATTGATTGAGGGGAAGAAGACATTATACAATGTCAGCTGGCTTGTTACAGTTTCATTTGTTGTATGACCTGAACTTAACCTCTGGAACCTTTCTTCTGTGACTATAAACCCAACAGCAGGAGAGGTTTTGTGCAGCCATTACACTGGTGGCTTTTCCCCAGGCCTGACATACAGTAAATATATTCCTTTACAGGCTCCCTCCTCCCTCAAAATCTGTTCAGGAGACGTTTTACTACTTTATTCATTTACAGACAATCTTCTTTCCGTTTCGTTGTTGAATATTGAAGGGTTTTGATCCAGGAAGCTGTTTGCTTCTTTCTTCCCCCCAATACTTAGGAGAGCATTTCTGTACATGTGGGTTCATGCTGACTGGTGTGCAGTAAATTAATTCTTTTAACAGGTTTAGGATTTTTTTTTCAGGTAATTGTTCACGTAGCATTCACTATATTTAGCTCTTGGGGTGGACATAAAAACCTTCTGTACCTTTTAAACAAAGAGTGTGTTTCAGAAGCAAATTTCTGTTTAAATGTGTTGATGTAAAAGGCTCCATTTTTTTCAGTAAACATGGCTTAGAGTGAAAGAACAATTTATTCGTTGTTTCCAATTACTATGTAATCTTTGCTTTTTTGTATCCCTCTCTTGCCTTTAAAAGCCCTAAGATGTCATTAACACTTCACTGTTGTCAGTCTTGCTAACGGTTGGCAGGACCTCATTTGTATTGATTTGTTCCAATGTGGAAGCACATGAGTAAAACAGCACACTGAAAGCAGTGTGTGGCGTTGCAGTTTGTCGAGTTAGAAATAGTAAGAGTGTGGCAATCCTGGGAGCAGTGTTCCCGTTGACCATGCGTTTCGTTAGAGGAACTTAATCTTTCGTTCTAACCAACTAATACTCAGTTCATCCTTTTATCTTTATATTAAGACTATGTCATTAAGTTAGTGTTTTAAAAGAACAGAGATTTTTCTTTTAAGGCCATGGAGATAAATCATTTTAAAATGTGGTAGAATGTAATTTAAAGTATCCTATTTGTAATTCATAGATGGTATATAAAATTTTTTTAAAGTTAAAGTAATTTAATCACAAATATGAATGCTATCTAACTTTACTTAGTATTTGAATTTCAAAGTTATTTGTCAGGAAACATCTACCTAATGCTATGCAGTGAATCCGGAAGAGGGCTAATGTCATCGTCAGGTGTCTACATCAAATATATTTCCTATGTGCTGCTATCACTTAAAGAGAGGAAAACACATAGACAGTGTTGTACAGACACGCTGTACCTCAGGAAGCTTTAACTGCTTATAGTCTCCAGTCAGGGAACATTGTATATCTTTTGTTTGGGGAAGTATAAGATAAGAAAAACATTCTCAGTAGCCTTGAAAGTCAGCCAGTGAGGGTGATGGTGATGGTGGTGGTGGTGGTGATGATGATGATGGTGATTTCCAACTGTTAGTGTCCAGATGAAACTGCAAACAAATCCCTCCCACGGTGGCTATTGACTACCCAATGAGAAATGAAAGTAAAACACTTCTAGTTTTTATAACAAAATTCACTTTTAAAGAAACTAAGATAAACCATCCATTAAATCAGCATACTTTCAGACATTCTAAAAGTCCTTGTTCTAGAAACTTATAAGAAAAAAAAAAACCAAAACAGCAAGACCATTAGCACTGTATGATACAAAATCAGATCTCTTAGTGTAGAATATGTTATCTAGACTATATGTGTATTAATAATCAGTGGTATATTAGAACCACAATGGAATTATCATTAATTATAGCAATAATAGTTGAGTGTCTTCTGACAGGTTATTTTATGTCCACATTTTATACATGGGATTTTGCCATTTTTTATATTGTATATTTCTAAGCATTAATTCACTGCTAAAATTAATTTGATTATAGTTTTGGAAAGTGCTTTGATTCTAAGCAGTGTATCAGCTATTCTTACAGCTTCTATTAAGATGCCATTCAATAAAGAATAGAAAATGAAGATGCCGTACCTTGGAGAATGCAGAATCTCCTGCTTAAGGGACATTTGGATTTTCCAACTCAAAGAGTGTTTTAGATTATTGCCATAGAGAAGAATGTGCCGCGCTTCCTAATTTCAGAAGTAACTATGCATAAGTAACAAGTCGTCACCCAGCTTTCGTGCTCGGAAAGAATGGGAAGTACCAGAGCATTCATTTCCTTTCAGGGGAATATCTGTCCTGATCCCTGGTTAATTGATCATATATTTTTCTCATACTTGTATTAAAATTGCATTGACTTTGGCTGGTTAAGCATATTAAGAGCCCAGTTCATTTGCATTTTCTTATAAGTTGAGGGACATATTAGGCTCAAATAGCAAGGCTTCATTTTGAAGGGAGAAAAGCAGGCCAAAACTCTTTTAAGACTGTAGAGTCTTTTCTGACAGCTAGTCAGAGTTAGAATTAGTTCAAGGAGATGTTAATAACGCACTGCCTGGCCTAATCCCTTTGATATCACCAGGTATCCTCCTGTTCATGGGTTAATTGCTTTAAAAGCGAAGGCAATATTCTGAGCGGTGGGCCGCTTCACCTTTTCACAGCTGTTACCATTGAGTGACAACTAAATCCCATGTGTAAGATGAGGAAGAGCTCAATCTCCAATTGGGAGAAAATTTATGTAAACCGCAATCCCTTCAGAATGTGCGGAAGTCATAGACTTTCTTGATTTACTCTGCTTTTCCCAGAAAGCGCTATTGTTCACTTTCCTAAGTCCCATCAACCCTTTGTAGCAGAATATCACAGCGGCAGCAGATAGCTTGAAATATATAAATGCTATCATAGCTCTGATTAATAGCAGTGCTTATGAGTCAAGTCTGATAACAGTGCAGCTCTCCACTCAATTTCAGATACTGCTAATGGAATCTGTCTTCTCCAATTGTAATATGAGAAGGCCTAATTTGCCATGGAGCTTGGAGCTGTCACCAGTAGGGGATTGTGGGGTCAGATGGGAGCTGCCAGGTTTTTGCCCTGCAGCTTGTATCTCTCACTTTGAATAGAGCAGCCCCCTGCCTGCCAGTTAGCTGATAGGCCGCCGTGGGGCTTATGCCACTATGTACAATAGGAAAGGGCTGCATAGGCTGACTTTATAATTGTGAAGCTAGCTCATATTTCCACAGCTACTGTGCTGCATAATTTCTAATAAGTGGTTTTAACAAATGTCAGATTATGAAAAGTTTCCTCAATTACAAAAACTTATAAAACATTTAAAT